TGGGTACTGCCTCTGGACTAACGTGCCCTGTAACACAGGGCTACACTCAGGGTCCTCCTACACCACTGTCTAGTGAGGGTACTGCCTCCGAGCTAACGTGCCCTGTAACACAGGGCTACACTCAGGGTCCTCCGGCTATGGGTGCCTAGGGGGGAGGCCGTTCTAACTCGGCCCTAGCCACGGTTCCGAGTTCCGACCACTGACCCACTGGACGCGGCCCTCACGAGGACGTCAGGGGACCAGGGGTTCCCAGAGTCTCACGGCCGAGCCGCACAAAGTCCCCCGGCCCTGCTAAGGGCAGCGGGGGCTAGGGGGGTCTCCTATCTAGCTGGGCTTGGGCCTTCCTGTCTAGCTGCTGGTCTTAGGCTTTCGGTCTTCAACTGGTCCAGATCGACCTGGGGAGGTCCCCTTTGATGCCCCTTGCTCCATCTATGGCGCCGCCACACATCGCGTTAAAGTTATTTCGCACCGTTTTGTCGCGAACTTTGGCCAATCCACTCACGACGACGAGGACGTCGGCCGCGGTGGCCAGAAGATGTTAGCTCCCTCGCCCGGTGTGCAGGAGGTCGTGGGTTCGATACCGGCCCTGACACCCGCTGATGCCGCTGTTGTTAGCTGTTGCGTATGCGGAGTTTACGTCTCGATCTCTCTCCTCGTGGGTGGCGTGGATTTCTTTCCGCCGGGGTCCTCCCTCCGTCGTTTTTCCTTAGAGACATTTAGAGACGACGTCACCGCACATTTAGAACCCACGGGCCTCATCATTGCCACACGGTGGTAATGATGAGGCCACTTCGTTGAGCTACGGTTTGCGATGGCCAGGTCGCTTTTGAGATAGAAGAGCTACATAGGCAGTTCAAGTGGTGGGGTCTTTAACAGCGTAACAATAGGCTGTACCATTTCTGTAAATAAAAACACAACCTTGTGGTGAACATGCAAACAAAAACAGGCTCTGGTAATAAGTGGCATTGCCTTTGACACTAATTGGTCTGCACCAGAGAGAGCGTCCTTCTTTAGGCCCTAGTCTCACAACCTGTGTCTCACTACCCAGTGTCTCACTACCCAGTGTCTCACTACCCAGTGTCTCACTACCCAGTGTCTCACTAGCAGTGTCTCACTACCTGTGTCTCACTACCCAGTGTCTCACTACCCAGTGTCTCACTACCCAGTGTCTCACTACCTGTGTCTCACTAGCAGTGTCTCACTACCCAGTGTCTCACTACCTAGTGTCTCACTAGCAGTGACTGACTACCCAGTGTCTCACTACCCAGTGTCTCACTAGCAGTGTCTCACCACCAGTGTCTCACTACCAGTGTCTCACTACCCAGTGTCTCACTAGCAGTGTCTTACCACCAGTGTCTCACTACCAGTGTCTCACTACCAGTGTCTCACTAACAGTGTCTCACTACCGAGTGTCTCACCACCAGTGTCTCACTACCCAGTGTCTCACCACCAGTGTCTCACCACCAGTGTCTCACTACCAGTGTCTCACAACCTGTCCCACTACCAGTGTCTCACCACCCGTGTCTCACTAGCAGTGTCTCACTACCCAGTGTCTCACTACCCATTGTCTCACTACCAGTGTCTCACTACCCAGTGTCTCACTACCAGTATCTCACTACCCAGTGTCTCACTACCAGTGTCTCACTACCCAGTGTCTCACTAGCAATGTCTCACTACCAGTGTCTCACTACCCAGTGTCTCACTAGCAGTGTATCACCACCAGTGTCTCAGTACCAGTGTCTCACTAGCAATGTCTCACTACCAGTGTCTCACTACCAGTGTCTCACTACCCATTGTCTCACTACCAGTGTCTCACTACCAGTGTCTCACTACCCAGTGTCTCACTACCAGTGTCTCACTACCCAGTGTCTCACTAGCAGTGTCTCACTACAAGTGTCACACTACCTGTGTCTCACCACCCAGTGTCTCACTACCCAGTGTCTCACTACCAGTGTCTCACTACCCAGTGTCTCACTACCCAGTGTCTCACTACCAGTATCACACCACCCAGTGTCTCACTAGCAATGTCTCACCACCAGTCTCACTACCCAGTGTCTCACTACCCAGTGTCTCACTACCCAGTGTCTCACTACCAGTGTCTCACTACCTGTGTCTCGCCAGCAGTGTCTCACCACCAGTGTCTCACTACCCAGTGTCTCACCACACAGTGTCTCACTAGCCAGTGTCTCACTACCCAGTGTCTCATTACCAGTGTCTCACCACCAGTGTCTCACCACCAGTGTCTCACTACCAGTGTCTCACTACCCTCTGTCTCACTACCCAGTGTCTCACTACCTGTGTCTCACTACCTGTGTCTCACTGGCGGTGTCTCACTACCCAGTGTCTCACCACCAGTGTCTCACTACCCAGTGTCTCACTACCCAGTGTCTCACCACCTGTCTCACCACCTGTGTCTCACTACCCAGTGTCTCACTACCCAGTGTCTCACCACCAGTGTCTCATTACACAGTGTCTCACTACCCAGTGTCTCACTACCCAGTGTCTCACTACCTGTCTCGCCAGCAGTGTCTCACCACCAGTGTCTCACTACCCAGTGTCTCACCACACAGTGTCTCACTACCCAGTGTCTCACTACCCAGTGTCTCATTACCAGTGTCTCACCACCAGTGTCTCACCACCAGTGTCTCACTACCCAGTGTCTCACTACCCTGTGTCTCGCTACCCTGTGTCTCACTACCCAGTGTCTCACTACCTGTGTCTCACTACCAGTGTCTCACTACCAGTGTCTCACTACCCAGTGTCTCACTACCCAGTGTCTCACCACCAGTGTCTCACTACCCAGTGTCTCACTATCCAGTGTCTCACCACCTGTGTCTCACCACCTGTGTCTCACTGCCCAGTGTCTCACTACCCAGTGTCTCACCACCAGTGTCTCACTACCCAGTGTCTCACCACCAGTGTCTCATTACACAGTGTCTCACTACCCAGTGTCTCACCACCAGTGTCTCACTAGCAGCGTCTCACTACCAGTGTCTCACCACCAGTGTCTCACTTCCAGTGTCTCACTACCCAGTGTCTCACTACCCAGTGTCTCACCACCAGTGTCTCACTACCCAGTGTCTCACCACCAGTGTCTCATTACACAGTGTCTCACTACCCAGTGTCTCACCACCAGTGTCTCATTACACAGTGTCTCATTACACAGTGTCTCACTACCAGTGTCTCACTACCAGTGTCTCACTACCAGTGTCTCACTACCAGCGTCTCACTACCCAGTGTTAGATGGATAAACGCAAAAAGGCGAACAACCCCCCCCAAGTTTTAACATCATTCGGCCTTCTTGGGTCCGTCGGTAAAGTCGCGTAGATAGGTTCAAAGACAATAATAAAAGTAACGGGAAGACGACCGCTTGCGTTGCGATGGAAACGTCGGAGTTTTCCGTTATCTTTGATTATTTCCTTTGAGCCTATCCACGTGGTGGCTTTACCGACGGACCCAAGAATGTGAATTCCTGCAGTCACGAAAGCTTCAAGTCAAGCAGCGTTCGGCAAGTTTAACGCAACATTTAAACGTTTCCGTGATCCGATACCCGAGCAAAAACAAACCTTCGTGGTGGAGAATGGCGGTCGTGGAATCCCCGACTGCCGCCGTCGCCGCCACCACCGAGCGTCAGGCGCTCCGTTCGCGACGGCTCTGACCACCGGCCTCCGCCTCCTCCTCCTCCGCCTCCCTAGGTCCGCAAGGAACAGCTCCAGTACCGCTACGAGGTGCAGAAGAAGATCGGCAAGGGAGGTCAGGGCCTGGTGCTGCAGTGCCTCGACCACAAAACCAAAACGCTCGTGGCCGTCAAGATGCTGTCGATGGCCTCGCGGTGAGCCGGGAGGGCCTTCCGCGGTGGCCCGCGATTCTCGGGAAATAATCATCAAATGATCGGAGGCACCGCCGTGAAACTGCCACCAACTGTGGACTCGCCGACAAAATACTAACTGCCGTAAAACTTCTGCTAACTATAAACTAACAAAATACTAACTGACGTAAAACTGCCGCTAACTATAAACGAACAAAATACTAACTGCCGAAAAACTTCTGCTAACTATAAACTAACAAAATACTAACTGACATAAAACTTCTGCTAACTATAAACTAACAAAATGCAAACTGCAGTAAAACTGCTGCTAACTATAAACTAACAAAATACTAACTGCCGTAAAACTGCTGCTAACTATAAACTAATAAAATACTAACTGCCGTAAACCTGCTGCTAACTATGAACTATCAAAATACTAACTGCTGTAAAACTGCTGCTATGAACTAACAAAATACTAACTGCCATAAACTGCTGCTAACTATAAACTAACAAAATCTTACTGCCATAAAACTGCTGCTAACTATAAACTAACAAAATACTAACTGGCATAAAACTGCTGCTAACTATAAAACTCACAAACAAAATTTTACCGCCGTAAAACTTACTGCTAAATATCAACTAACTCACTAAATAATAACCTGCCGTAAGACTACTGCTGTGAATCAAAGTTAACCAACAGAATAATAACTGCCGTACCACTATTGCTAACTACAAACTAACAACAACAATCGCCATTGGCCACTAGGTGGCGGTGACGTCACCACGTTGCTTCTGCCAGGCCATGTGCACCTTGAGGCTACGTGAAGTGTAACCAACAGACCTATGGAGACCCACAGAGACACCCACACAGAGATACCCACAGAGACACCCACACAGAGACACCCACAGAGACACCCAGACCCACACAGAGATACCCACACAAAGATACCCACACAGAGACCCACAGAGAGCTACAGAGACACCCAGACCCACAGAGACACCCGGACCCACAGAGACACCCGGACCCACACAGAGACACCCACAGAGACACCCACACAGAGTCACCCACGCAGAGACACCCACACAGAGACACCCACACAGAGAGTCACCCACGCAGAGTCACCCACACAGAGTCACCCACACAGAGTCACCCACACAGAGTCACCGTCATCGATTTCGCGACCTTCCACCTCCCGCTCCACAGCCCCTCGATAGCGGCCTGCCAGAGAAGGGAGCTGAAGATGGCCAAGGAGCTGCAGGGCAGGGCCAGCGATGAGCGCTACGGAGTCATCCGGGTCCTCGACACGTTCCAATTCCGCGGGCACAATTGCCTCGTCGTCGAGCTCTTGAAGTACGCGAACCTCCGCTTACCCCCACCCACCCCACCCACCCCACCCACCCACCCACCCACCCCGCCCACCCACGTGCGTGTCCATTGCTCCGCTCGATGGTTTCTTTATTTCGGAATTAATATTGATTTAACGGTTAATCAAGCAACTCAATTCGTCGATTTATCACTTTGAATGAGTTTCACTCGCAGGGCTGTCGCGACCAATGTCATCCTTAATAGGTTTGGTTTGTTTTTTGGGGGGGGTTGGATCGCGTAAATGCATCAATGTCGTGTCGTGAAATCCGCCACCACCCGACACGGCCGACTAGTAAGGGTTCAGTGATGAAGGTTTTTTTGTGGATTAGATCGCCGTTATTTATAAACGTGTCGTTAACCCTCCACCACCCGACACGGCCAATCGGCAAAAATAAAGTGTCACGTTGACAAAAGGCAAAATTCGTTCACTGCTTTAGCCCACCGGTGTGTTGAAGAGTGAACCCACAACGTTTACAGCTTGTTGTCACGCAGACAGAACGTGGCAATTCGTTGGGGTCATCCTGGATTCAAGACTGAATTTTGAAGGGCACATTGATTATATTGGTAAAAAGACAAAAATAAAAGATTGGTTTTCTGTATCGACACAGGCACTGCTTACCCGCCAATGTTCCGTTTGGAATTGATGAAAGCTACCATACCGCCTCTACTTGACTACTGTGACATCGTGTATAAATCAGCCCCAAGTACTGTACTGAAGAAGCTTGATTCCATCTATCACTCGGCCTTAAGATTGACATTGAACTGCCCGTATAGGACTCACCGCTGTGATCTCTACATTGGGTCAAACTGAACATCTCTTAATGTTCGACGGATTGTGCACCAGATATTATTCATTCACGATGTACTTACGAAAAAATCCGCAGACTACCTGCTGGATCTCCTCTCTGCTTCAAAGAACAAATTTGACCTAAGGTCTTCGCTCATTTACCAGCTTTCACATTCCCTATTGCCGTGCAAATACTGGAGGAAGGGCCTTTGCTATCGATGCAAAGGCCCTGCCAATAAACTGCAACTTGAATCACTGCTTATGAGATCTTCACTCAAAACTGCTCTAGAGGAGTTGTACACCCCTAGCTGCCACTGCTATTCAGTGGCCTAAAATAAAATAAAATGTTTCGCTCCGGATGACCGCTGCAAAGTATTATCTGTATTTTGATTTAGCGCGCTGATCTTAAAGGTGCATTTTAAAATGTGATACTCCGACCGATGCTCCTGCTATTGTGGAGTGACTCATGCAGCCAGCTATGGCTCTAGGGTTTGGTGGTACATGTTGTTTATGTAGTTTATTGTAAAAAAATTCGGTCACAGTTTCTATGATCACTGTTACATTGCTTTTATGACTTTATTTTGGTGATTTTGAAAACGTTTTTTTTTGGTTTGGACATGTTTGTTTTGTTGTAGTACGGCGTTAGACTGACGGCCTTAATCTAAAGTTGTCTTGTGGTTGTTGTTTGACTTTGCATCCCACACTGGGATTTTTGCACGCAGCGTTGGTGGTGTGCACGGTGCTTTTTCTGGAATATTTTTGCTGTTTTTTCCCCATGGATTTTCTGTTTTGCACAGTCAACACACACAAAGTCACCTTAAGATGTTTTTCTTGGTCGTGTTTTTGGTTTTTGTTTGTTGCGGTTGCACCCGATTCAAGAACCGGATGGCTCACGGGGCTATACCAAAATAAATGAAACTGAAACTAGTGTGTAGTGTAAAGTGTAGTGTATAGTGTAGTGTATAGTGTAGTGTAAAGTGTAGTGTGTAGTGTGTAGTGTATAGTGTAGTGTATAGTAGTGTGTAGTGTATAGTGTAGTGTGTAGTGTATAGTGTAGTGTATAGTGTAGTGTACAGTGTAGTGTACAGTGTAGTGTATAGTAGTGTGTAGTGTAGTGTGTAGTAGTGTAGTGTGTAGTAGTGTATAGTGTAGTGTACAGTGTAGTGTATAGTAGTGTGTAGTGTAGTGTAGTGTATAGTAGTGTAGTGTATAGTGTAGTGTATAGTGTAGTGTATAGTGTAGTGTATAGTGTAGTGTAGAGTGTAGTGTAGAGTGTAGTGTAGAGTGTAGTGTATAGTGTAGTGTATAGTGTAGTGTATAGTAGTGTGTAGTGTAAAGTGTAGTGTGTAGTAGTGTAGTGTATAGTGTAGTGTACGTTACATGTTTTTGTTTATTATTTTATTGTTTTATATTTTTATTATTTTATTGTTTTCCTTCTACTACGCGGGGGTGACTTTACCGAAAGAACCAAGAATAATAATTTTATTGTTTTACAATAATTTAATTGTTTTATATTTTTATTATTTTATTGTTTCCCTATCTACGTGGTGGTGACTTTACCGAAAGAACCAAGAATAATAATTGTATTGTTTTACAATAATTTTATTGTATTATATTTTTATTATTTTATTGTTTCCCTTCTACGTGGCGGTGACTTTACCGAAAGAACCAAGAATAATAATTTTATTGTTTTACAATAATTTTATTTTTTATATTTTTATTATTTTATTGTTTCCCTATCTACGTGGTGGCGGTGACTTTACCGAAAGAACCAAGAATAATAATTTTATTGTTTTACAATAATTGTATTGTTTTATATTTTTCTTATTTTATTGTTTCCCTATCTACGTGGCGGTGACTTTACCGAAAGAACCAAGAATAATAATTTTATTGTTTTACATTAATTTTATTTTTTATATTTTTATTATTTTATTGTTTCCCTATCTACGTGGCGGTGACTTTACCGAAAGAACCAAGAATAATAATTTTATTGTTTTATATTTTTATTATTTTATTGTTTCCCTATCTACGTGGCGGTGACTTTACCGAAAGAACCAAGAATAAAAATTTTATTATTTTACAATAATTTTATTGTTTTATATTTTATTATTTTTATTGTTTCCCTATCTACGTGGCGGTGACTTTACCGAAAGAACCAAGAATAATAATTTTATTGTTTTACAATAATGTTATTGTTTTATATTTTTATTATTTTATTGTTTCCCCTATCTACGTGGTGGTGACTATACCAAAAGAACCAAGAATAATAATTTTATTGTTTTACAATAACTTTATCGTTTTATATTGTTATTATTTTATTGTTTCCCTTCTACTACGTGGTGACTTTACCAAAAGAACCAAGAATATGAATCCCTGCAGTCACGAAAGCTTTAAATCGAAAAATCACTAAACTATAAACTATTTTTATTTTTCTATTTAAAGCTTTCGCGACTGCAGCTATTCATATTATTGGTTGTTTCGGTAAAGTCACCGCCACGTAGATAGGGGAAACAAAAAAATAATAAAAATATAAAACAATAAAATTATTATTCTTGGTTCTTTCGGTAAAGCCACCGCCGTCACGTAGATAGGGAAACAATAAAATAATAAAAATATAAAACAATAAAATTATTGTAAAACAATAAAATTATTATTCTTGGTTCTTTCGGTAAAGTCACCGCCACGTAGATAGGGGAATAATAAAATATATAAAATATATAAAACAATAAAATTATTGTAAAACAATAAAATTATTATTCTTGGTTCTTTCGGTTAAAGTCACCACCATGTATTTACGTATCTACGTGGCGGTGACTTTAACCGAAAGTACCAAGAATAATAATTACATAGGGAAACAATGAAAATAATCAAATATATATAAACAATAAAATTCCCACGACGTTTCGACCGCAACGCAAGCAGTCATCATCAGGTGCGAAATCCAACGGCAAGAAACATTTTAAAGGAGTGGCGCTTTGTGTTTATTTATTTTTAAACGTTAGCACCACGGAGAGCGATTTGACAGTTTGTTTAGATGGACGCAGGAAGTCCTCGCGATTCAACGGAAACGCTCCCCACGAATTACACGTTCACATTTTTTTTAAAAATATATATAATATAGTAATAAAATATTTCCACTGAAAGGTTAGTGAGAAAATTATGAAATGATACATTATTAATAGGTGGGTAATGATGCAACACAAAAAAATAACGCCTGATAAGATGGTAATAAAATGACGGAACAATTGTAAAACAGCAACGAGGATATTGTGATGAAATAAAAATATACTGCTCGTAGAAATCAAAATCGTGAAACGCTGATAATAAAGCAATAATGAAAATAATGCGTTGATTAAATTGCGATGAAATCGTAGCGATAAAACGATGGTGACAAAATAATAAATTATTCTTAGTTCTTTCGGTAAAGTCACGTTGAAGGGAAACAATAAAATATACATAAAACAATAAAAAATATTGTATAAAAATAATTGTATTAAAAAATTTTTTTAATTGTTATATATATATTTTATTATTTTATTGTTTCCCTTCAACGTGACTTTACCGAAAGAACTAAGAATATGAATTACTGCAGTCATGAAAGCTTTAAATAAAAAAAATATAAAATAGTTGAAATTACAATAAAATCATTAAATCATTATATTCTTGGTTCTTTCGGTAAAGTCACCACGTTGAAAGGGAAACAATAAAAACTATAAAAATATATATACACGTAAAACAATAAAACTCTCACGACGTCACTTTACCGAAAGAACCAACAATATGAATCACTGCCAGTCACGAAAGCTTCAAATAGAAATTTTACGAAATCACCGTCGTAAAATACTCAACGTCGTTTTGTGGGCGTTGGCTCCGTCAGCGCAAGCAGTGGGGCGTGGCGAGGCCGCGGATGAACACCGGCGGAGCGACGAGGCTTTACACCACCCCCCCCCCCAACCCCCCCGCAAAACTAACCAAGTGGTACAGTCCGTTTGGGGCCCTGCGGACGTCATCGGAACGGCAAAGGGGTTTTTATTTAACGTCGTCGTTGTTGTCGTTGTGGCCTCAGGAGGAGCCTCAAAGACGTCGTGAGAAAAGGGAGCGCCGGGCGGATCTACCCGAGGCGTCTGAGGGAGTACACCGGGGCCATCCTCGACTTCCTGCTGTACGCCAAGGGGCGGGGCGTCGTCCACGCGGACATCAAGCCGGTGAGCGGGGGGCGGGCCGCGGTGGTGGCCACCTCCCGCCGGGGCGCTCGCTCGGCTGGCGCGGAGGCGGCCACCCCCGGGACCCACGGTCGACCCACGGGGGGGTCGACCGTGGGCCCCGTCCATCTGTGGGTCTCTGTGTGTGGGTCTCTATGAGTATGGGTCTCTGTGTGAGTCTCTATGAGTATGGGTCTCTGTGGGTCTCTATGAGCATGGGTCTCTGTGGGTCTCTATGAGTATGGGTCTCTGTGTGGGTCTCTATGAGTATGGGTCTCTGTGGGTCTCTGTGGGTCTCTATGAGTATGGGTCTCTGTGGGTGTGTATAGGTCTCTATGAGTATGGGTCTCTGTGGGTCTGTATGGGTCTCTATGGGTCTCTATGTGTCTCTATGAGTATGGGTCTCTGTGGGTCTGTATGAGTCTCTATGAGTATGGGTCTCTGTGGGTCTGTATGGGTCTCTATGAGTATGGGTCTCTGTGGGTCTGTATGAGTCTCTATGAGTATGGGTCTCTGTGGGTCTGTATGAGTCTCTATGAGTAAGGGTCTCTGTGGGTCTGTATGAGTCTCAATGAGTATGGGTCTCTGTGGGTCTGTATGGGTCTCTATGAGTATGGGTCTCTGTGGGTCTGTATAGGTCTCTATGAGTATGGGTCTCTGTGGGTACGGGTCTCTCTGGGTCTGTATGGATCTCTATGAGTATGGGTCTCTATGGGTCTCTATGAGTATGGGTCTCTGTGGGTCTCTGTGTGGGTCTCTATGAGTATGGGTCTCTGTAGGTCTGTGTGAGTCTCTATGAGAATGGGTCTCTGTGGGTCTCTATGAGTATGGGTCTCTGTGGGTCTGTGTGAGTCTCTATAAGTATGGGTCTCTATGAGTATGGGTCTCTGGGTGTGTATGGGTCTCTATGAGTATGGGTCTCTGTGGGTCTATGGGTCACTATGGGTATGGGTCTCTGTGGGTCTGTATAGGTCTCTATGGGTATGGGTCTCTGTGGGCCTGTATAGGTCTCTATGAGTATGAGTCTCTGTGGGTCTGTATGCGTCTCTATGGGCCTGTTGAAACACGTGTTTAGAGTGTTTGGGTGCTGTGACAAATGTCCATGCGATGATGATGATGATGCTGCTGCTGATGATGATGCTCATGATGATATCAGCCACTTGGTTGAGCTGCTCTCATTACGTGATGGCCAGGTCGTTTCTGATGAAAGAGCTTCACGGCAGCTCTGCCGGGCCCTTACACCCTGGTAGTGAAATAAAAATAGGTTTTGTGGTTTCTTAAAACGACTTCGAACGGCAACACAAGTGATCTTGATTAGGTGTAAAAAGTAACAAATCACGGAGGTAAATACGACGAGAAGATGAGAGACGAGAATTCAACACAGCTCAGAAAACAATCACGCAAAGCACAACCATCTTCTTTGGTTCTTTCGGTAAAGTCCCCACGTAGAATGAGAATAAAATGATAAAATTACACAATAAAATTCTCACGACGTTTCGGCCACAACGCAAGCGGCCGTCTTCAGGTGAAAGGTACGGACCCGTCGGGACGACAGAGCTTCAATCAACGATGGTAAGATTCGTAGCGACTTTTAAGCTGGTTGGGAGAAGTCGCTACGAATCTTAACATCGTTTATTGAAGCTCTGTCGTCCCGACGGGTCCGTACCTTTCACCTGAAGACGGCCGCTTGCGTTGTGGCCGAAACGTCGTGAGAATTTTATTGTGTAATTTTATTTTATCAATTTATTATTTTAGTCTCATTCTACATGACTTTACCGAAAGAACCAAAGAAGATGAATCCTTGCAGTCACGAAAGCTTTAAATAGAAGCACAACCAGTCAGGCCAACAACACAGTTAGACACTTACCTGGCGGACCACGAAATTTAACACTCTTCTGAAATTCGTGATCCGTCGGGTAAGTGTCTAACTGTGTTGTTGGCCTGACTGGTTTGTGCTTCACGTAATGTTTTTCCTAGGTTTGTTGAATTCTCGTCTCTCATCTTCTTGTTGTGATTTGGTTTTTTACTTTACACCTGATGAGGATCGCTTGTGCTGCGCGTCGAAACGTCGCGATTGATTTATTTCAATATAATTTTACGGTATTCCTACACACGTGACTTTACCGGAAAAAAACAACGAGCGATTTACACGGTCACGAAAGCTTTAATTCTTCATTGACTTCGAACGGGTCTCAGGCACGTGGCCCGTGTCACAAGTCGGGGTGGGGGGTGGGGTGGGGCGGGCGGGGAGGGCTGCCCGTGTGGGTGTAAATGCGTCACCTTGCGTGATCGACCGACTGCTGGCTGGACGCTCCTGCCGTAACCTCCGAGCGTGGAATCCCTTCCCCTGTCTCTGCTCTTTGTTCCAGGACAACATTCTGCTCACCGCGGACGGCAAAGTGAGGGTCAACGACTTCGGATGCAGCTTCTACCTGAAGTATAAAAGTGAGCGAGTGGGGCTTTTGCGTGCGTGGAGTTTTATATATATATATTTTTTGCTCGGGGGTTATCTCGCGTCGACGTCATCGTTGCGTTTGTAATTCTAGACTTGAAGCTTTCGTGACTGCAAGGATCCATACTCTTTGGTTCTATTCGGTAAAGTCACGTAGGTAAAAAAAATAAAACAACAAAAATCACGACGTTTCGGCCACAACACAAGCGGCCTTCATCAGGTGAAGGGACCAGGCTGTCTGGAGGACAGCGCTGGAGTGGAACACAGCCACGCTCAGACCACGGACCTTTAAGCTGTGTGCGAGGAAACAAGGTGCCTTGACAAAGGAATTAGCATAACAAATTAGCATTTGATTGGCCGACTTAGCATAGAGGTGGTGTACGTGCGGGTGCACATACCGGTTGGCGCGAGACAGCCTGATCCCTTCACCTGATGAAGGCCGCTTGTGTTGTGGCCGAAACGTCGTGATTTTCGTCATTTTATTTTTTTACCTACTACGTGACTTTACCGAACAGAACCAAAGAGTACGGATCCTTGCAAGTCACGAAAGCTTTAAATCTAGAAATGCAAACGTTGTTTTGAATTGGAATTAAGAAAGTCAAGCCAGGTCGCGTCCTTTAAGCCGATAGAACACCTAAAGTGCAGCCAGCCGGTGAGGTTCAGCGTCACGCGGGCGGGACGCGGCCAATCGATTCGTCGCTTGCACAGCGCTAACCGGTGCGCTGGAGTTGTGAACCCGCTACGACGTTTACAATTCGAGCGCTTGCAGCCGAGCATCATCGTCATCGTCATCATCATCATCGTCGTCATCATCGTCATCATCGTCGTCATCGTCATCGTCATCATCATCATCGTCATCGGGCGGGCAGCCAGAGTACGTGGTCCAACCCGAAAAAAAACACTCGCCATCCGCCGTGACGTATCGGTCGCAGAAGCCGACCACGCGTTTAACCGACCGAAGGAAAAAACTGTTCCACCCGCGTCGCTGTTGACGGAGGGACCACTTTGTAGTCATCGTTGTCGTCGTTGTTGTTGTTGTTGTTGCTCAGCCCAAACCGTGGGCGGGACGTTGCCCTACATGGCCCCGGAGCTGCTGCTGGGCTACCGTGTCACCTGCGCCGTGGACATGTGGGCCCTGGGCTGCACTGTGGCCGAGTTGGCCACCGGCAAGGTGCTCTTCAATTCACAGACCTACAAAGACCACCTGCACCGCTGCATCGAGGTACGGGCGGGTGGGTGGGTACGGTGGGTATGGTGGGTTGGTACGGTGGGTATGGTGGGTTGGTACGGTGGGTATGGTGGGTTGGTACGGTGGGTATGGTGGGTGGGTACGGTGGGTATGGTGGGTGGGTACGGTGGGTATGGTGGGTTGGTACGGTGGGTATGGTGGGTTGGTACGGTGGGTATGGTGGGTGGGTACGGTGGGTATGGTGGGTGGGTACGGTGGGTATGGTGGGTGGGTACGGTGGGTCTGTATGGTGGGTGAGCGGGCGGGCAGGTCTCTATGGGTATGGGTCTCTGTGGGTCTGCACAGAGACCCATACTCATAGAGACCCCGTAAAGACCCATAGAGTTGTATTCCCTCCCATAGCCACAAACACCAGCGAGGAATATCCGAACTGGTCCTGGGCCTATCATAGGTTGAGTCAGCCTCAAACGAGTACCTGGCGTAGCGGTGTGTAGTAAACATTTTATACTGGGGGAGACAAAGGTGGCCGGGCGTGGCCCTGGGCACCCACCCCCTCGTGTGCCGTTCCGGCCTTCATAGGTGCCGCTCGCTACTAGCAGCGCTTGCCCCAGCGATGAGATGAGGCTAATACGTGGAGCGGGGGAATTGATGTCTCTTTGTACACAGTGCCGGCCTTCATAAGTGCTGCTCGCTGCTAACAGCACTTTCCCCAAGCAATCAGAGAAGGCTAAGACTAGGAGGGAGGGGATTGTTATACTGGTAGGAACGAAGTTGTAAACTGAGTGTACCAGCCTGCAATAGATTAATGTGTCCGTCCGTCCGTCCCCTTTCAATACTTTAACAAAGTGAAATCTCGTGCTGTTGGGGTGTAAAATAAAATTGCGCAAAATTCCAATGTTCCTACCAGCCCACCCTGCAGGGACCTGTTCTTTGGCCACAGTGCTGGCCTCCACACGAGCTGCCTCCGCCACTACTCACCGCTGACTGACGGCACTTGCCCCAATGGGCAATCGGTCACCCCCCGTGCCCCCTTATAAATCTCAGCGTTCATCCTACAAAGTCCCATCGCAAGGGAGAAACACAAACACAAATGGACACGAATTTTTTTGTTGTTGCTGCCCGAATTGAAACGGTTGCACTGTCAAATCATCTCACCATGCCCCTCTCACCACCTGTGCGCCTCCCCCCTCCCTCCTTCCCTCCCTCCTTCCCTCCCTCCCTCCCCGTGTCCCTCCCAACAGATGGGATCCGAAACTCCGGATGACGCCTAAGAAGGCGCTGGCTCACAGCTGGCTCCAAACCATCATCACCACCACCACCACCACGAGCAGCACCCCCACCACCAGCAGGGCCACGCCCACCACCAGCAAGGCCACTCCCACCGCCAGCAAGCCACTCCCACCGCCAGCAGGGCCACTCCCACCGCCAGCAAGGCCACTCCCAACGCCAGCAAGGCCACTCCCAACGCCAGCAAGGCCACTCCCACCGCCAGCAAGGCCACGCCCACCGCCAGCAGGGCCACTCCCACCGCCAGCAAGGCCACTCCCAACGCCAGCAAGGCCACTCCCAACGCCAGCAAGGCCACTCCCACCGCCAGCAGGGCCACCCCCACAACCAGCAGGGCCACTCCCACCGCCAGCAGGGCCACCCCCACCGCCAACAAGGCCACGCCCACCGCTAGCAGGGCCACGCCCACCACCAGCAGGGCCACGCCCACCACCAGCAGGGCCACTCCCACCGACAGCAAGGCCACTCCCACCGCCAGCAAGGCCACCCCCACCACCAGCAGGGCCACGCCCACCACCAGCAGGGCCACGTCCACCACCAGTAGGGCCACGCCCACCACCAGCAGGGCCACCCCCACCACCAGCAGGGCCACTCCCACCACCAGCAGGGCCACGCCCACCACCAGCAGGGCCACCCCCACCACCAGCGAGGCCACCCCCACCCACACCGAGGCCACCCCCACCCACACCGAGGCCACCCCCACCACCAGCGAGGCCACCCCCACCACCAGCGAGGCCACCCCCACCACCAGCGAGGCCACCCCCACCACCAGCGAGGCCACCCCCACCACCAGCGAGGCCACCCCCACCACCACCGAGGCCACCCCCACCCACACCGAGGCCACCCCCACCCACACCGAGGCCACCCCCACCCACACCGAGGCCACCCCCACCCACACCGAGGCCACCCCCACCCACACCGAGGCCACTCCCACCGCCAGCAGGGCCACCCCCACCACCACCGAGGCCACCCCCACTCACACCGAGGCCACCCCCACCCACACCGAGGCCACTCCCACCGCCAGCAAGGCCACGCCCACCGCCAGCAGGGCCACTCCCACCGCCAGCAAGGCCACGCCCACCCCCAGCAAGGCCACGCCCACCGCTAGCAAGGCCACCCCCACCACCAGCAGGGCCACGCCCACTGCCAGCAGGGCCACTCCCACCACCAGCAGGGCCACTCCCACCGCCAGCAAGGCCACTCCCACCGCCAGCAAGGCCACGCCCACCACCAGCCCGGCCACTCCCACCGCCAGCAGGGCCACCCCCACCACCAGCAGGGCCACCCACACCCCCAGCAGGGCCACCCCCACCACCAGCAGGGCAACCCCCCACCACCAGTAGGGCCACCCTCACCACCAGCAGGGCCACCCACACCACCAGTAGGGCCACCCACACCTAGGCCACCCCCACCACCAGCGAGGCCACCCCCACCCACACCGAGGCCACCCCCACCACAAGCGAGGCCACCCACACCGAGGCCACCCCCACCACCAGCGAGGCCACCCCCACCCACACCGAGTCCACCCCCACCACCAACGAGGCCCCCCCCACCACCATCGAGACCACCCCCACTACCAGCGAGGCCACGCCCACCACCAGCGAGGCCACCCCCACCAACACCGAGGCCACCCCCACCGCCAGCGAGGCCACACCCACCGCCAGCGAGGCCACGCCCACCGCCAGCGAGGCCACCCCCACCACCAGCGAGGCCACCACCAGCAGGGCCTCCCCCACCACCGCCACCACCACTCCCATCATCATCTACATCCGGCCCATCACCATCAACTGGGCCACCACCAGCAGCTGGGCCACCACCACCACCACCATCCGGGCCACCACCACCAGCTGGGCCGACACCACCAGCTGGGCCACCACCACCATCAGCAGCAGCGGCGGCACCACTCCTGTGCAGGGCTCTGCAGCTGCTGAGCCACGGTGAGCCTCTCTCTCTGTGTACCTTGCCTGGTACGCAGGAGGTTGTGGGTTCAATCCCGACCCTGATGAGATGTTAACTACCTCGCCTGGTACACAGGAGGTCGTGGGTTCAATCCTGACCCTGATGAGATGTTAACTACCTCGCCTGGTACGCAGGAGGTCGTGGGGTCGATCCCGACTGACGATGCCTGGCTGCTGCTGCTGCTGTATATTTGCAGTCTGCGTCTCTCTCTTTCTCTCATCATCATCACGGTGGCTAGGAGATGTTAACTCCCTTGCCTGGTACGCAGGAAGTCGTGGGCTCGATATCATCACGGTGATGATGACGATGATGACGATGACGACGATGATGACGATGATGATGATGATGATGGTGATGACGATGATGACGATGATGATGCGCTGCTGTGGTGCTGCTGCTTCTCTCCACAGAGCGGAGCCGGAGGAGAAGCTCCAATCACCATCGCCGTCATCATCGCCGTCATCACCATCATCATCATCGCCATCGTCATCATCACCGCTCACCACCGTGGGCCCAGCTGTGGCAGAAGCCTGATGAGAGGACGCCAGAACTGATACCGAGATTGGACTGGACACCACACTCACCACCGTCACCACACTTACCACACTCACCATCCACACTCACCACCCACACTCACCACACTTACCACACTCACCACCCACACTCACCACCGTCACCACACTTACCACACTCACCACCCACACTCACCACCGTCACCACACTTACCACACTCACCACCCACACTCACCACCCACACTCACCACCGTCACCACACTTACCACACTCACCACCCACACTCACCACCCACACTCACCACACTTACCACACTCACCACCCACACTCACCACACTTACCACACTCACCACCCACACTCACCATACTTACCACCCACACTCACCAGACTCACCACACTCACCACCCACACCACCCACACTCACCACCCACACTCACTACACTCACCACCCACACTCACCACCCACACTCACCACCCACACAACACTCACACTCACCACACTCACCACCCACACTCACCACCCACACAACACTCACACCACTCACCACCCACACTCACCACACTCACCACCCACACGCACCACCCACACGCACCACCCACACTCACCACACTCACCACCCACACTCACCATACTCACCACCCACACCACCCACACTCACCACCCACACTCACCACACTCACCACCCACACTCACCACACCCACCACACTCACACTCACCACACTCACCACCCACACTCACCACCCACACTCACCACCCACACTCACCACCCACACTCACCACCCACACAACACTCACACTCACCACCCACACTCACCACCCACACTCACCACACTCACCACCCACACTCACCACCCACACTCACCACCCACACTCACCACCCACACTCACCACCCACACTCACCACCCACACTCACACTCACCACACTCACCACCCACACTCACCACACCCACCACACTCACACTCACCACACTCACCACCCACACTCACCACCCACACTCACTACCCACACTCACCACCCACACTCACCACCCACACAACACTCACACTCACCACCCACACTCACCACACAATGGACTACAGCTTGCCTAGCCACGCGCGCGTGTGAAGAGTTAGGATAGAGATATTATAAATAAGTTATAATGTAATCATGTGTACATATATATCTAGACATTTGTTTGATTATCGATTGTTGTTAATAAATAAGCGGACTCAACATAACGTTGCAATTGTGTTTGTTGTGGCGAGTTGCTGCTGCCTGGGTCTAAGGTGACTTGGGTTCAGATGTTGACTACCTCGCCTGGTACGCAGGAGGTCGTGGGTTCGATCCCGACCCTGACGAGATGTTGACTACCTCGCCTGGTACGCAGGAGGTCGTGGGTTCGATCCCGACCCTGACGAGATGTTAACTACCTCGCCTGGTACATGGAGGTCGTGGGTTCCATCCCGACCCTGACGATGCCTGCTGCTGCTGCTGTATTCGAAGTCTGCCCAGCTCTGTGTCTCATCAGCAGAAGCAAGAGACAGGCTCTGCTTGAACCAATGGTGGTGAACTGCCCAGGTGTTTGTCGTCAGATGCACCTAGCCTGGCACAGCAGTACAACCCATGGCACCCGCTGCGTCTGTCCCGTGACCTCCTCCTGCACCTAGCCTGGCACAGCAGTCAACCCATGGCACCTGCTGGGTCTGTCACGTGACCTGCCAGCAGCGACCCTTTGACACTTCACGTGGCCTCAGAGTGCATGCACCTAGCCAATACAAAGCGCCGTGGTGACGTCACAAGGGGGGCACGTCACTGAGTTGCATTGAATGAGTTCTGCACGGACGGCTTACCTAACCTATCCACACTACAAATTGCAATCATTCACTGGCTACTCCCATAGACTTCTATAGGATTTACGTCAGCCTTTCCGCCACATTTCCTACATGACATAAGCACCTTTACTTATCCACACAGCCCCGTGGTGACCAAGAGCGGCTACCTGGACCTCTCTCTCCCCACCACCCACCCACCACCCACCCACCGTGGTGACCAAGAGCGGCTACCTGAACCTCTCTCTCCCCACCACCCACCCACCACCCACCCACCATGGTGACCAAGAGCGGCTACCTGAACCTCTCTCTCCCCACCACCCGCCTACCCACCCACCACCCACCGTGGTGACCAAGAGCGGCTACCTGAACCTCTCCCCACCACCCACCCACCACCCACCCACCGTGGTGACCAAGAGCGGCTACCTGAACCTCTCTCTCCCCACCACCCACCCACCACCCACCCACCGTGGTGACCAAGAGCGGCTACCTGAACCTCTCCCCACCACCCACCCACCACCCACCCACCGTGGTGACCAAGAGCGGCTACCTGAACCTCTCTCTCCCCACCACCCACCCACCACCCACCCACCGTGGTGACCAAGAGCGGCTACCTGAACCTCTCCCCACCACCCACCCACCACCCACCCACCGTGGTGACCAAGAGCGGCTACCTGAACCTCTCTCTCCCCACCACCC